CCTCTGCACATTTTCTTCCCATTGAATCCGGTAGACATAAAGGCATTTTGAAGGAAAACAGGCTATGTAATCTCCATGAATGCAATGAAGTAGGGGATGAGAAACATTACATTTTATATTGTAATAATTGTCAAATCAAAGAACAAAGATCTAGATTCATTGCAGCTTTATACATCTATGCCCCAAAGCTGGAAGATTTTAGCATGGATGAATTATTTCCTATTATTGTTTCAAGTAATGATTTTTTCATTCTTAGCATTTTTGCAAAATTTATTTTCTATATTCTTGATATGTATTAATACTGAAAGTTTTTGTTGTTCTGAATGTTTTGTTTTGTTATTGTTATTTTTGGACTTTACTCAAGTTTTCATTGGTACGTTCCAAATAAAAAATTCTATCTATCTATCTATCTTTAACCTGAACACATGACCCAATATCGACCTGCGACCTAAACATATGTCCCTGTACCTACATGCGACCTGAACACATGACCCAATATCGACCTGCGATCAAAACATATGTCCCTGTACCAACATGTAACCTGAACATATGACCCAATATCGACCTGCGACCTAAACATATGTCCCTGTACCTACATGCGACCTGAACACATGACCCAATATCGACCTGCGATCTAAACATATGTCCCTGTACCAACATGTAACCTGAACACATGACTCAGTATTGACCTGCGATCTAAACATATGTCCCTGTACCAACATGTAGTACCTTGAACACATGACCCAATATCGACCTGCGATCAAAACATATGTCCCTGTACCAACATGTGACCTGAACACATGACCCAATATCGACCTGCTATGTAAATATATGTCCCTGTACCAACATATAACCTGAACAAATGACCCAATATCGACTTGCGACCTAAACATATGTCCCTGTACCAACATTTAACCTGAACACATGACCCAATATTCACCTGTGACCACCTAAACATATGTCCCTGTACCAACATGCGACCTGAACAAATGACCCAATATCGACCTGCAACCTAAACATATGTCCCTGTACCAACATGTGACCTAAACACATGACCCAATAACGACCTGGACCTAAACACATGTCCCTGTACCAACATGCGACCTGAACACATGACCCAATATTGACCTGCAACATTAACATATGTCCCTGTACCAACATGCGACCTGAACAAATGAATCAATATTGACCTGTGACCTAAACATGTCCCTGTACCAACATGCGACCTGAACAAATGACCCAATATTGACCTGCGACCTAAACATATGTTCCTGTACCTACATGCGACCTGAACACATGACCAAATATCGACCTGCGATCTGAACATATGTCCTTGTACCAACATATAACCTGAACACATGACCCAATATCGACCTTCGACCTAAACATGTAACCTGGACACATGATCTAATATCCACCTGCGATCTAAACATATGTTCCTGTACCAACATGTAACCTGAACACATGACCCAATATCGACCTGCGATCTAAACATGTCCTTGTACCAACATGCAACCTGAAAAAATGACTCAATATCGACCTGCAATCTAAACATGTAACCTGAACACATGACCCAATATCGACCTGCAATCTGAACATATGTCCCTGTACCAACATTTAACCTGAACACATGACCCAATATCGACCTTTGACCTAAACATGTAACCTGAACACATGACCCAATATCTTCCTGCAACCTAAATATATGTCCCTGTACCAACATGCAACCTGAACACATGACCCAATATCGACCTGCGACCTAAACATGTAACCTGAACACGACCCAATATCAACCTGCAACATAGTGGGGATTCAATAAACCACTATTGCAAAAGATAATCTATAGAATGATACTGAAACAAATATCATTTCTAAATAGATGTGAAGATTAATATGCGTAGGAGGTCTCTTTCAATTGGTTCCAAGAAACCAATATTGTGGCAATTACGTCCTTGGTATTATACTGTATTATACAATCGTCGAAAATCCCGTAATGTTATATCACGATAACTACGTTCCTGATTATCAGTTTTATAAAGTTGTATACTGGATGTAACATCAATCTCTGAATACCTTCTGAAAAGAGACCAACTTTCAAATGAATTTGTCACGGCGTTTCAGAAATAAAATATATTTTGCTAAATTCCTAATTACATTAGATTACTTTAATAATTGGAAGAGGTCGTCTTTGGTACGTATTCTAATTCTTTGTTTTCGAGAACCCATCCAAACGGATTGCCCAGGTGTGGGGTGTTATATAGATAATACCCTGCTAGCGGGTCATTGTCTAGATAGTGCTCGTCCACTGTCCATGTACAATATCAACAGTTGTGTCAATTTTAAAGACAGTTATTTTCCTACACCCCCCATATATTTATAGTGAGGTGGGGGTAGCTGGTGCTAGTTATTACAGTAAATAAAATGAAAGTTTCATTCACAGTGAAATATAGTTGTTTACACTTGACACATTTTTTGTTATATTTTTGATAATTTGGGTTTAAGAATCACAATTCGAAATTGCGCACATATTACGACATTTAATGTGGAAAATGCTTTATACTCTTACAAAAAATAAGACCTTTGTACGAAAAATTTTAGAATAAACAATATTATTTCATTTTACACCTTGCCCATGTTTACGAAATTATGTTTTTTTTTATTTAAATTAAAGCTTACGTAAATACCCCTTTATTGAGAATATACAAAATTCTAATAATTTCTCCAGTCAAATACCAACCTGAATTCTTCCTTCTCTCAGTACTTCTTCCGAGATCAAGGTATCGTTTGACAATAGTATAATGTCTAGACTGGGCAGAACTCTTAATTGGGTATAGGGGTACTATGCCATGGTTCCAGTGCAAGTTGTGGTTCAGTGCGGGCGCAAGATATCGAGAAAACGTTTGGAATTTTGACCAAAATCAGGTTCTACAAAAATCCCAAAAATCAAGTTTCTTTTAAAAGTTACCTAGAAATAGTAAATAATTCTAAATACAGATTACAAATTTAGAATTAGTGCACACACACCGCTTCCACTGAAAACTGGACAGTTGATCATGTGATTACAAATTACAACGTAGTTATTGTGGACATAGCATTCACGTCAATATACTATCTCAGTGCAAGGCAGTAAAACTTAGGATTTTTTAAAAATGATATCAGGAGATTTGTTGTGTGAACATTTCTTTGTATATAGCACGCACAACCAGACATGCACTTTTCTATAGAAGTATATAGAAGTGGAAATTAATCTGTGAATCTGTTAAGAAAATGACGAAGAACAAAAACAAAACGCCAAATATCCAGTAATATTCAATGAAGAAACCACCGAATTTAGAAACTGAAATGAAAATTACTGTTGGGCTTCCTTGGGGCAAGTTCTATAATGAGATAGAATCCGGTTACTGTAAAAATATACAAATTCCTGACAGGAAAAGCAAAAAATGGAACTCCCGGCATGTGAAGATGTGGAACACGTACTCATAATTTAATCAATATTTCATTTTATAAGTAAATACATTTATCAGTGTTTCTCTTCGAAGAGAATAGCACTATATTAGCTGCCACATACATTCTGTCCATTAAATTTAGTTTTATTGAGAAAAAAAATTTTTTTACTTTTCACTATTAGGTAACACTCGATTCACCTGCCATTTAAATTATAGATATTTATAATAGTAGTAGAAATAACATCACACAAATTTTATAATGCTTTGCGTAGCTTAGGGTTGAGAAAGAGGATAATGTATGGTTATATAAAGAGAACTTTATAACATTGTGTGAACATAGCACACTGTCACCATGAATAG